ATTTATTGTAGAGATGAGGTCTCGCTGCCCAGGCGGGTCTCGAACCCGCGGGCTCAGGCAATCCACTCACCTCAGCCTCCCAAAGGTGCGGGATTACAGGCTGAGCCACCGAGCCTGGCAGGTATTTTTTTTTTATTTATTGTTGAGAGAGGTCTTGCCAAGTTGCCCAGGTTGGTCTTGAACCCCTGGACTCAGGCAATCCTCTCACCTAGGCCTCCCAAAGTGCTGGAATTACTGCCATGAGCCCCCACGCCTGGCCTATTTTTTATTTTATTTTGTTGTATTTTATTTCATTTCATTTTTTTTTAGTTGGAGTCTCACTCTGTGATCCTTCCGCCTTAGCCTTCCAAGTAGCTGGCTACAGGCCTGCACTACCTCACCCAGCTAATTTTTTTGATTTATTGTAGAGATGCGAACTCGTCAAGTTACCCAGGCCATTCTTGAACCCGTGGGCTCAGGCATTCCTCTCATCTCGGCCTTTAAAAGTACTGGAATTATAGGTTTGAGCCACTGTGCTAGGCCTATTTTTAATTTTTTTTTTTAATAGAGAAGGAGTTAGCCGGGCTCAGTGGCTCAGCCTGTAATCCTGTGCTTTGGGAGGCTGAAGTGAGTGGATTTCCTGAGCCCGTGGGTTCGAGACCCGCTGGGCAACTTGGTAAGACCTCATCTCTACAATAAATCAAAAAATTAGCTAGGTGTGGTAGCGCGCCCCTGTAGTTCCAGCTACTTGGAAGGCTGAGGTGGAAGGATCGCCGGAGCCCAGCAGGTCGAGGCTGCGGTGGCCAGAAGCGTGCTACTGCACTCCAGTCTGGGTGACAGAGTGAGACTCCAACTCAAAAAAAAAAAAAATAGGGAGTTTTTCTATGTTGCACAGGCTGATCTTGAACTCCTGGCTCAAGTGATCTTCCTGTCTTGGCCTCCCAAAGCTTTGGGTGCATGAACCACAGCACCCTGCTGCAATTTCTTGACTTGTGTGTATGCATCTCCCTATCTTGGTGTCTCTCTCCTTTCCAATCTATTCTGGCTTTTTGGGGAGCTCCCCTTACTCGCAGGTGCCCTGCTCTCTAAAGCCTCATTGCTACCCTCCTGTGCTGTCAGAGCAGTCCTGGCCTCTCAGGGTTAATTAATTTATTGCATGTCTCTTGTGTGCTGGGAGATCCAGATTTAGTGGTGAACAATGAATGTGACCTAACCCATTGCTGTGATGAAATGACCAAATTTTTAGTTTATGTTTGGCGGCCTGGGAAGCGAATGGGACGTGACCACCTACCTAGTGTTTGCAAAGTTCTGTACTAGGGGTGAAGCCTGTGGAGACAGTTAAGGCGAAGCTCCTGTTCCAGAATCACTGCTAATTTACTACAGAGAAGAAGTTGGACCGTCTCTTTAGATGTCTTTGGAAAACCATTCTAAAGTATTTTCCTGTCTTTTATGTTGTTGATAGTTTTTTTTTTTGAATTGGAGTCTCACTCTGTCACCCAGACTGGAGTGCAGTGGCCCCTCCCGGCCACCGCAGCCTCGACTTGCTGGGCTCTGGCGATCATTCCGCCTCAGCCTTCCAAGTAGCTGGAACTACAGGCCCGTGCTACCACGCCCAGCTAATTTTTGATTTATTGTAGAGATGAGGTCTTGCCAAGTTGCCCAGGCGGATCTCCAACCCGCGGGCTCAGGCAATCCACTCACCTCAGCCTCCCAAAGCGCTGGGATTACAGACTGAGCCACCAAGCCCGGCTGTTGTTGATGGTTTTAAAGGATAAGGACCTTACATTCTGTAGGTTGACTCCCAGCTGGTGCTTTGAAGCATCAGATTATGCTTTCCTTTTTGTTTTTTTTGGGTTTTTTTTTAAGTTAGAGTCTCACTCTGTCACCCAGGCTGGAGGGCAGTGGCCAGCTCCCAGCCACCGCAGCCTTGACCTGCTGAACTCAGGCGATCCTTCCCCCTAAACCTTCCAAGCAGCTGGAACTGCAGGCACGTGCCACCATGCCCGGCTAATTTTTTTTTGTTTTATTGTAGAGATGAGGTCTCACCAAGTTGCCCAGGCTGGTCTCAAACCCATGGGCTCAGGCAGTCCTCTCACCTTGGCCTCCCAGAGTGCTG